TTCATGACTAAAACACCAAAAGCACTAGCACCAAAAGCCAAAATAGACAAATGGGACCTATTCAAACTCCAGAGGTTCTATACAGCAAAAGTAACAATCATTAAAGCGAATCAGCAACCAACAGAATGGGAAAAAAATTTTGCAAAATACCCATCTGACAAAGGACTGATATCCAAAATCCACAAAGAATTAAAACAGATTTACAAGAAGAAAACAAGCAAACCCATTCAAAAGTGGGTGAAGGATATGAACAGACACTTTACAAAGAAGACATACATGAGGCCAATAAACATGAAAAAATGCTCATCATCACTGGTCACTAGAGAAATGCAAATCAAAACGACATTGAGATACCTTCTTACACCAGTTAGAATGGTGATCATTAAAAAAATCTAGAGACAACAGATGCCGGAGAGGATGTGGGGAAATAGGAACACTTTTACACTGTTGGTGGGAGTGCAAATTAATTCAACCATTGTGGAAGACAGTGTGGCAATTCCTCAAGGACCTAGATATAGAAATCTCATTTGACTCTGCAATCCCATTATTGGGTATATATCCAAAGGATTATAAATTATTCTACTATAAGGACACATGAACACGTATGTTCACTGCAGCACTGTTTACAATAGCAAAGACCTGGAATCACCCCAAATGTCCATCAATGATAGACTGGACAGGAAAAATGTGGCACATATATACCATGAAATACTATACAGCCATAAAAAATGATGAGTTCTTGTCCTTTCTAGGCACATGGATGAACCTGGAAACCATCATTCTCAGCAAAATCACAGAACAGAAAATTAAACACCGTATGTTCTCACTCATAGGTGGATGTTGAACAATGAGAACGCATCACACAGGGAGGGGAGCATGACTCTCTAGGGCCTGTTGGGGGTAACTAGGGGAGGGACAGTAACTAGGGGGGTAGGGAGTTGGAGATGGATAACATGGGGAGAAATGGCAGATATAGGTGATGGGGAGGAAGGCAGCAAACCACATTGCCACGTATGTACCTATGCAACAGTCTTGCATGTTCTTCACATATACCCCAAACTTAAATGCAATAAAATATATGTATATATAAAATGTATCTGGAAAGTTCCCTTTCCACCTCTTTCTCCCAGAGAAAACAAAAGAAACAAAGAAAGAAAGAAAAGGAAAAAGTGGTGTTATTAATCAGTTGGTAAGGAATCATGGTCTTGTTCACAAACTTCTGATCCTTTTTTCACAGGCTAGAAATCAATCCAGTTAGTAAAATAGTAACAGTAACAACAGCCTAAAAGGAAGAGTATTTAAAATGCAGGAGGTGCTGGTCTAGACAAATTCATGGGTTACATTATTTAGCCTTGAGCATCGTCTTAAGAGTATATCCTCATATGGTTCCTATTTGACAGGCGAAAAAACTGAGGCACTGAGAAGTACGTCATCTGTCCGGACTCAAAGGTGGTACTAAGTGGTGGCGCAGGTGTCACCTGACATTATCTTGTGCACTATGCCTATCTAATTATTATTATTATTTTTGAGACAGAGTTTCCTTCTTGTTGTCCGTGCTGGAGTGCACTCTCGGCTCACTGCAACCTTCGCTTCCCAGATTCAAGCGATTCTCCTGCCTCGGCCACCCAAGAAGCTGGGATTACAGGCATGTGCCACCATGCTTGGCTAATTTTGTATTTTTAGTAGAGATGGGGTTTCTGCATCTTGGTCAGGCTGGTCTTAAACCCCTGACCTCAGGTGATCCACCTGCCTCAGCCTCCCACAGTGCTGGGATTACAGGTGTGAGCCACCACACCTGGTTTTTGTTTTGCTTTGTTTTATTTTGTTTTAGATGGAGTCTTGCTCTGCCTCCCAGGCTGGGATGATCTCGGCTCACTACAACCTCCACCTCCCGGGTTCAAGGAAGTGTACTGCCTCAGCTTCCCAAGTAGCTAGGATTGTAGGAACATGCCACCATGCAGGGCTAATTTTTGTACTTTTGGTGGAGTCAGGGTTTCACAATGTTGGCCAGGCTGGCCTTGAACTCCTGACCTCAGGTAATCCTCCCACCTCGGCCTCCAAAAGTGTTGGGATTGCAGGCATGAGCCACCTCACCTGGCCACTATGCCTACCTCATTGTATTTCTAAAATGAGAGGAAAAAGAAATAATTGTATTGCCATCCTCATAGTAACTCTCTGAAGGCGATAATATCATTCACATTTTACAAATGCGAAAACAAAAATCCAGCTTTTTTTTTTTATTTTTTTCTGAGACAGTGTCTCACTTTGAAGCCCAAGCTTGGGTGCAGTGGCATGATCTTGGCTCACTGCAGTCTTGACTTCCAGGACTAATGATCCTCCCACTTTAGCATCCCAAGGAGCTGGGACTACAGGCGGACACCACCACACCTGGAAAATCTTTTGATTTTATTTTTTGTAGAGATGGGGTCTTGCTATGTTGCCCAGGCTGCTCTCCAACTCCTGGGCTCAAGCAATCCTCCCACCTCGACCTCCCAAAGTGCTGGGATTACAGGCATGGTCGCTCTAGCTTCTTTTCTTCCCAATGCCACATTAAGTTTTTAGTAGCTGAGTCAAGAGTCCCGGGGGTCTTCTGACTCCTACTTCAGTGTTTTCCCTGCTAGGCTACAGCCTCTGTGATTCCTGGCAGTTGTCTGACAGTGGACTGAGATGGATTATTTGGGCGTGAAGCACAAACAGAGGAGCCATCTCTTAGGAGCCAACCCCCAACGTTCTGATGGGGCCAGCATGTATTCTGGGAAAATGTTCCATAGCTCCCATCCACGACCAGTGAATAGGAATTAGGTGCCAGGCATGGTGGCTCATGCCTGTAATTCCAGCACTTTAGGAGGCCAAGGCAGACAGATAACCTGAGATCAGCAGGTTAAGACCAACCTGGCCAACATGGTGAAACCCCGTCTCTACTAATAAAACACAAAAATTAGCCAGGCATGGTGGCTGGTGCCTATAATTCCAGCTACTCGGGAGGCTGAAGCAGCAGAATCGCTTGAACCCAGGAGGCTGAAGTTGCAGTGCGCTGAGATTGTGTCATTGTACTCCAGCCGGGGTGACAAAACAACACTCAGCCTAAAAAAAAAAAAAGAAAAGCTGGGCATTGGCCAGGTGCAGTGCGGTGCCTCAACCCTGTAATGCCAGCACTTTGGGAGG